TACTGTTCGCTTGACTCAATTATTTATCTCTTTAATCACGCTGGTTTTTCTCGCCAGGCTCATATACTAAAAAGAGGGCGTTTCGATCAGACTAGAGTTGCTGGTCAAATTCATGATCCTTCGAGGAACTCCAGCACACATGCTCCCAGCGTCACATGACTTCCGCTGTCGTAACATTACTTTTAAAGCTTAGTATAAGTGTCTTTGCTTCTTACTTTTTAAACTTCAGCATAAATGTATTTGCTTCTTACTTTTAAAGCTCAGCATAAATGTCTTTGCTTCTTACTTTTTAAACTTCAGAATAAGTATTTTTACTTCTTCACTTTTCTAACTTTATCAGAAGCCCCTTCAATTCTTACTTTCCAAACTTCAGCAAAAGTCTCTTCGCTTCTTACATTTCAAACTTCTTCATTTCTTACTTTGATGAAGCATAAACAAGTTTTTGTTTTTCTGTTAGATTTGCAGTTTTGAAGAGAAAAAACATACTATTTTATAGAGCCTATAATCCCTACAAGAGCTGCTATTTTGATGTACATGATACTTTCACTTTTAAAAGATTTTTATTCCAGGTTTCATCAAAAAAAAATTACTTGAAAAATAGCAGAGACAATATAAGAATTCACTTTAAGAAATTTATTAAATAAAAAAATGTTCCTTTATATGGGGATCAAGAATTGCTCGGATTTATTTAGAACTTGACCAGTTATGATATGCAAATAGTCGTTGAAAACAAAATGTACAAATGTTTTCATAGTTAGTTTGTTTCTTTTGATTTTCCCGGGTAGTTCACTAGTTGTTAAATAATAGTAGATCATTTTTTATTTCAATTTCAGTGAAAATGAATACTGTTTCAAAATAAAACAGACATTCTAACTGTTGGTAAGGAAAGCGTGGTATGTATTCATAAATAAATAAATAGGAAAATTAAAAGCTGTTAGCTTCATAAGTACGTGAATTTCCAAGAGAAAATCTTTAATTTCTGTGGCTCAGAGATAAGTTTGAGACATTATAAAGTTAAAATTCAGATCTCGTTATTCGCGTTGTCACAACGCAATTAGTCCACCGTACAAGTTGCGCCTAAATCCAATCACACATAAACAAAAACCCACGTTTCGTGTACTGCACGTCGTTAGGCAAGAATAAACACTCGTCAATGTTGTTATTAAACGTATCCACTTAGCCGAGTTTAAATAGCTTTATATATTCTTTGCTAAGTAACTTATTTATATAATTGTAATAAACCATTTAAAATACATGTCACCAATCTTTATTTATTTTGTTTAATTAAACCTGTTGTTGTGCAGCTAAATTGGTATACTAAATTCCAAATTTCATATAAGTTATTTGCGATAAGGTAATAAATATGATTTTTGTGATTTACCCATTATTTTAAAGAAATGATTGTGCCCCTGACTGCTAATCCGCGGATCCATGGTTCGCGTCACGTTACCGAAAAAAAAACGCGTTTCACAATTTGAAGCTGTGGGTAGGTGTCCGAACTTTATAGGGTAGAGATACTTTACAGTAGTGCTGTGACTTGTTGGCGGTAAATTTCAACAATAAAAGAACAGCACACAATTCACTTGTTTTAAAATAATATATTCAAAACAGGTCAAACGTATGTACAAAATTTGGTTATACTATTGGTTATCACAGTTGTATACACAGCTTTAGAAAATTGTCTCTTTTTCGTCTAAGTCCACACAAGCGGTTTCAGTTACTTTAGAACACTCTTTGACAAGACAAATTATTCTTCTCCATCTTTCACTTTCATTAACTTCACTTTTCTTGCACCAACTTTGTCGTCTATATATATATATAGGTGTGTCTATGTATATGCATATATTGCCCAACTGAGACCCAGAATTTTCTACAAACTACGAGACGTTATGATGTAACATGAGTAACTTGATGTCAATTCATAACAATTGTACTACACAACAAATGATTCGTAAACAGTTACATAAGCAAACTTGCCATAACTATCATTTCTAAAAATAACTTCTTCATAATTACCACTGGTGAACAGTAGGCTGAATTTGAAGGCTCGATGATTCGAGCTTCTAACCTTGACTGAACTTCCTGCTTTATCAAGTCTCTCATTACATGGGACATCTGGTAGAGCTTCACCCTGAGTGGATTCTTGGGCATGGTCTCAATCTTTTGTTGCACAAGGTCTGTCTTGCCTGGTTTATCTATAAAGACATTTGCATACTGGCACAGTAGATATTGTAGCTCTTGCTAATCAGTTCTTCACCGTCTTTGTACATCTCATCTCCATCCAAAAGTTTTAAGTCTAACAGGTCTTCATCTTCTATGACAAAGCCACTGTTTTCTGGTTATGCTTCTGTGACAGCTACACCTGCCATGTCTATCTATGCCTCAATAGCTGCAACCATTAAGTCTTCTTCCCTCTTCAACAGATTGGCGTGGTAGATCTTGGTCTTCCCGTCCACTTTCAATTTATAGTCCATTCTTTTCACCACTTCATAAACTTCAAAAGGTTTTTTTTTCACTGCAGGGTGAGTTTGTTGTTGTCTGTGGGTAGCAGAACAAAGATCTTCTGTCCTACCTTGAAACGTCGATTCTTGGTCTTCTTGTCATAAAAGTTTTCTGACTGCCTTAAGCTGCTTATAAGCTTTTTCAAGCCAGTTGACAGTTCTACTCCAATCGGTTTCTAAGTCAAACATATACTGGTATGTGTTCTTTCCCTGTCCACAGCTCTGTCAATATTTGCATCAACCCACGTACTGTTCTTCCGTACAGTAACTCAAATGGTAAAAATACTGTACTTGATGTTGGAACTTCTCGGTAAGCAAATAATACTGCCGGCAGGTACCTGTCCCACTCACGTGATATATCTTGGCACATCTTCTTCAGCATACTATTTAAAACTCCGTTGACTCTCTCACAAAGTTCATTACATCTAGGGTTGTATGAGGTGGTAAAGAGTTGCCTTGTGCTGATGAGTCTGCACATCTCTTGCATCAGTTCTGAGATAAATTGAGTCCCTTTCTCACACAATTCTTCTTTTGGGGAACTTTCTCTATAGAACTCTTCCAGGAGAGCTTCTGCAACTCTCTCTGTCTCTATCATCGGCAATGCTATGACTTCTAGATAACGTGTTACACAGTCAACTACGATCAGAATATACCAGTTAACTTTGTCAGATACAAGTTCTAGTAGTCTGATCAAGTCTACAGTTACTCTGCTGAATGGTTCTTCTATGATAGGCATCTCACCCTATGGCCCCTTGGTTACTTTCCCTCTAGGTATTGTCTTTTGGCAAATGTCTCGTGACATACAGAATCT